CTATCTCGGACATATGCCACTGCACTACGCTCCACTGCTACAGTGGGAGTGCAGATGGACCTTTCCATGCCTCCATCTGAGTCTTTTTCACGCCGTGTGAGAGGTCTTCTGCCCTCCATGGTTAATAGAGTTGATAGGTCTATGTTGACTCCAATCTCTGTCCCCACTATTCCTTCCAGTGACTGCCTGGGTCAACCTCCTCGGGCACCAGCCTCTGATGTTCATGCGGGTCCTTCTTTGGCCCCTAAAAGCAGGACAATCATTCGATCACGTCCTCAGTCATTGGATTCTCACACTGATGACAGAGATCTGCCCACTCGATCAAGGGCAGGATCTATGGAGGTCGATCGACCCCCCCCTCTAGTAAAGGAAAATTGCGTGGTCGTAAACTAAAGGGTTTCCCACCCTGTTCTCCTAAACATTCATAACAATGGCCACTTTGATACAGTGGAACTGTCGAGGTTTCATTCTAATCTCGATGACATTGAGGCCTTGATTGACTCTTATCATCCTATGTGTCTATCCTTGCAGGAAACATTCCTGAAACCTGCTGATACAGTCACCTTTCGGCAGTTTTCTCTGTACCGGAATGACAGGTTGTGTGATGGGCGGGTGCATGGAGGGGTGGCACTGCACAGGAACTTGGAGTCCCTCAGGGCTGTGTCTTGAGTGTCGCACTTTTAAATGTTAAGATTAATGCTATCATTTATAATCTTTCTCCGACTGTTGCAAATAGGCTTTATGTTGATGACTTCCACATCTCGTGTCAGTCGTCGAACATGAGGTTTATTGAGTGGCAGCTTCAGACTGCCCTCAATCGGTTGTTGACATGGACCACTGCAAACGGTTTTAAATTTTCTTTTTCCAAAACCGTTTGCATGCATTTTTGCCTCTCTTCCACCTCTTGGGATGCGGATCGATGTTCTATGCTCAGGATCTATCGTGCACTGATTCGATCCAAATTGGACTATTGGTCTGTGGATCTGCCAGGTCCTCAGCCTTGAAGATGCTGGACCCCATTCACCATCTGGGGCTTTTTGCACTTCTCCAGTCTAGAGTTTATACACTGAGTCCCATGAACCTCCTCTTCACCTTCTTCGTTTGCAACTTTCTTTACAATATGCTGCCAAGCTTCGATCCTTACCATGGCATCCCACCTGGGATTCCGTCTTTTTCCCACGATGTGCCATGCTCTTTTGGAACAGATGGTCTGCTATTCCTTCCTTTGGCCTTCGTATCCAGGCCCAACTGGCTGAATTAGGTCTGGCATTGGATAACATTGCTGTAAAAGAATTTCTACCGGGAATTAACAAACAAGCAGATATGTAAAAATATCAAATGTAAACAGTCACTATAACAATATGTTCCAAACAAAAATATTTCATGTGTTTCGAATGAAATGATTTGATATGTAATAATACCTATTATACTGTGTTATACAAGAACATGCTAATAAGAATCTTACATCTAATTCTGATGTGTAATGACTATTAATTTAAATACAAATTACAGTTAATCAACTTAATCTAGTTCATATCAAAACAGTTGTTGCTTAAGCAACTGATTTCATAAACAGTCTCTCAATCAGTACTGTCTGCCATAACCTGGTTGACCAGATGAGCCATTAGATACAACAGAGATAACAAATTATTACATTTTTCGTTATTTGTACTCATAAGTTCCTATAATTACATGTTTACACACCAAATGTTTAAGAGCAATTAAGACACGTCACAACAATAGTCCATTTACTGTCATGATTCATTACATAATTTTAACTAACACAGAGACAAAATTCCTCCTAATTTAAGATTTCAAATAAATGAATTAAACTTGTTGGGTGGTTGTTTGTTTGGTGCTTTATGCCGCAAAGCAACGAGGCTATCTGCGCTAAACAACCAGTAAAAACGGTATAAGTAAATTAAAGTAAAATGTAAAATTACAGCAAGTTAAAACCAATATATGTCGATAAAAGATTTATATATATAATTAAAAATTAAAAATACAATCTAATCGGACAGTGTCACCATTACCAATGACACTGTCCAACATCAGGGGTAAACCCTTAGATGCAACGACGGCATGACAGTAAAATGTGGCCTATTGTGATTTGAGTGTCACAATGGCTACACATCGATGGGTCAATACCTGATAAAAGAAAACGATGAGTCAAAAAACTGTGACCGATGCGTAGTCTTGCCAGGACTACTTCCTCCTTCCGATCCTTAAGGAAGCAAGAAGGCCAAAGACCAACAGAAGGTTTGATCTGGAAAAGCTTGTTATGACATTGCTCACCCCAAGTCGACTGCCAACTGGCACGAAGCCGCGCCTTCAAGACAGGACCATATTCCATGTACAGGACAGGCACGGCCATGATGGCATCAGAGACGGGCTTAGCTGTGGTGTCAGCGAGCTCGTTCCAGTGAATACCGACGTGGCCAGGGATCCAGAAAAACTAGATGGAAACAGAAGATAGAGAAAAGTGGGCCAATCGGTGTTGAATATTGACGAGAACAGTGTGAGAACTAATGTTAAGCGATTCCAGGGCCAGTAGAGAGCTAAGAGAATCAGTGTAAATAGTACAATTACTGTACTGCATAGCTTCTACATGATCCAGGGCAAGAGAAATAGCATACAACTCGGAAGTGAACACAGAAACTGTAGAGGGAATCCTGCAAGCAACTACTGAGCCACAGCACACCATGGCAGAACCTACAGAGTCACTCGATTTCGAACCACCTGTGTAAATAGGAAGAGAAGAATGGTTTGAAAGATGTTCAGCAAAAAGAAGATGGTAATCCAATCGGGAGTATCCACCTTCCTCAGATGACTCAAGGAAAGGTCACAGGAAGGGATGGTAATAAGCCAATGGTGGAATGGGCTGATCATTGGGGCACGTGACGCTGCTGGTGCATTGGAGCTGGTGGCGAGTGCAAATAGTTTCTCAAATGATCACGAATTTTTGGGGGAGTCTTAGTGCATTCAAGAAGCCTTCTTCTTTAGTATATAAGCCTGGTAGAGAAGCCAGCGAGTGATATATAGATAATTAAAGAAGTGAAGAGTAGTTACAATAATATAAAATGTGTGTTTTGTACTCGTTGAAAGCGAGCAAAGTCATCGAGATTGCGAGTCCCTGTGATTTATGGTATGTATTAAACGTAGTGACTGTGGAATTACTGTGTACTAAAGTTTGTATCAAGGAAGAATAAACTGGTTTAATCAAGAAATGACTCGTATCACCGAAGTTCCTCTGCCTGACGTAATCAACAACAAGCCAGGATCTGAAATGAATAGTCTGTAGCACCCTGACATAGTGAACAACAGGCTAGGGTCTGATGATAAATAGCCTGTAGCACCTGA